TTAATAATTTTAAAATAATTAAGAAAATATTTTATTAAAGTATTTTAATAATATTATTAAAATTAACATTAAACATATAGATGGTTAAACAAAAAAATATCTGATTCAGTTATTTATTTCTAGTAGTTAGAGATTGTTAATAGTTCTTAGTTCATCTCTATCCAAGTTGCACACGTACTGAAACTATGTTCAACATAATAGTATTAATAATTTCCGGATAACAAAAATATCTGACAAGAAAATATTTACAAGTTTATATGAATCTAATATATCTGCGCTAATTTAAATTACAATTTACACCAGGGCAGCATATAAAAAAATATATTTAATTGCTTGATGTAGGGTATAGATTCTTAAACTCTTTTTTTATTTACCTAACTTAATATTTCTAATAGGTTATAATTAATTTACATTCGTGTCTCTTATTACTCTAAACTTTTATATTATAACTCTTTCGATAAATTTTTATTTTAATAAAATATTAAACAAATATTTTATTAATTTTTTTATTATTTATTTTTTTATTTTATTATATGGAAACCAGATTGACGTGGTCGTTGATTACTGCTTGATTAAAAAAAAAAACGTATGATGATGAGTTCAGACGATAAAGTGGGTGTTACTAAAAGTTTATTGACATTTTTAGAATAAGATAGAAAAATATTGAAGTAAAGTAAAAAATCTTGTTTAAATTTTTTTGTTTGGTTAGCAGAATTCAAAAATAAACTTCGTATATTTTTAGGGGAGTTTGGAAAAAACTTAACAGTTTAATACCATGTTTCCACTTGTCTCATTAAGGCCGCTAATGAGAATAATTTAATATACAAAGAGCTTTTATATAAATGACCTCACTATAAATAAAACGATATAAGGCGAAAAATGTCAATTCCCAAATGGAAATGTTCAAAATTTGAAATATTTCTTATATGTGAAATATAAACAAATAAGCTATTTCTTATGCTTAAATCAGCTTATGCCAATGGAAATAACCAAATCTTAATTTCATAAACAAAAGTAGTTCTAACTGGATTGGAAATATAATATAATACTTGAGAAAACATTATTCGAATATATATAAAATTATAATTTTGAGATACATACAATCTAAATCTTTCAATAATGCAATATATTGATATTTATTCATCAATAGTATTGTCAATACATATGGCAAGAGTTAATCACAATTTTGTGATCTAGATAAAGTGGCCATTCACATGATATTTTTACTATTTTAAACGGTCAAAAGAGAAGTGCTAAAAAGAAAACAAATAATTTCAGGAGAATTTAAGGGGATTGAAGATAAGAGTGTACCAAATATTTAAAAAAAAATGCTATAACTTTTTCTAAAATTGACTTTCCTCAATCGGCTTGAAAACCACAAATATAGATATAACAGTTATATATAACAACAAATAAATTATTAATGTATGAGAAAATTTTTTCTATTTAATAATCTATAATATATATTTTCAATTCATTATGTTTACCCCAGAGTTTTTGTTTTTTGTATAACAAAACCATTCTCGATGATTAATATTCAACTACAATGGAATTATTTTTTGTATCCCCAGAGTTTTCCATTAAATATTTTTTATTTTTTCCTTTTTTTTTAAATGACAATTTACATTTCAGCACATTTTAAGTGAAATCAATGATGCAAACAAACTGAATTATTTTTCTTTGGAATATTTTATGAAGAATTGCGGTTTATCATTTTTTTAAGGAATTTTTATATGAAATAATAATTGGCTTGGCTACGGCACAAAAGTCATAAAGCAAAACGTAGCAATTTAGTCGCAGCACATCTAACAATGAAAAATATGTTTCCATCAGTACAGATAAATGTTAGCAAAGTTTAATGGTCCTTACAAATCCTTTGTGGGGCATAAGAAAATTCATTTGTGTCTTTTGTAAATTGTTTATTAAATTAAATATATTTCTTTGTAAAAATTTATATATTTTTTACGCAATTGTACCGATGCTTCTTAACCTTTATATACATTTTTATTTTTTAAATTTTTATTCATATGAAGAGTTTGAAGTTTTTAATATATATTAAATTTATATATTTTTGTTTTTAAATTTAAAAATAAATATTGAATGAATGCAGACTACCTTTTATACAATTATATAAAAATAAGAAAAAAAGATACAAAAAAAATAAAATAAAATAAAATAAAATAAAATAAAATAAAATAAAATAAAATAAAATAATTTGATTTGATTTATTTTAATATAAAGCTTTTCTAATATTAACGTATGAACACAAATAAAAAATATATATTTAATTTCTGTATATTCATAAAATATTTTTCAACGAAGGAAAGATTAAGGCTAATGAAAAAACCAATATTAATTTAATAATGATCAAAAAAATTAATATTAAATATTATTAATTTCATTAAAATTAAATTAATATCCATAAAATTATATATAAAAATACATATCAGTTTTTGTTAAAAATTTTATTTCCGGTCAGATAGATGAAATACCGCTCTAAATGACAAAATAAATCTAAAAGATATTAAGGAAGAAGAAGCATTAATAAAAAGTAAGATTTGCCAATAAAAAAACTACACGAAAGATATTTTTTTAAAAAAATTGAATTTATTTATTTGTTTTGCACATCATATTTTCAGTATTAATATTCTTCTTACCCTTAGTAGGTGCAATAATTTAATAAAAGCAACAGCCCCATAACATATTTAGTAGTTACGATTATTGAGACGATACTGTGTATTTTCTAAATATTTAGTAGTTACGATTATTGAGACGATACTGTGTATTTTCTAAATATGTACATTAATTTTTCTATGATTTTTAATAAACTATAAGAAATAATGAATAATTAAAAAAATTTTAAATTAAATATAAATATAATTTATTTAAATGAAATATAAATATATTTATAAATAATATATATTAAATGAAATAATAAATAATAAATAAAATAATTTATTTATATGACATAAAATTTCGTTATATGGACATACAATTTTGAAAATATTTTAATATTGTCTATAAAGTGTATTTACTTTAACAAAATAAAAAATTATGCATATATACAATTATTTTAAATGATAAAAAAGGATAATAATAAATGAAAAAACAAGGTTCAAAAAATTAAAAAAAAAATTTAAAACAATGAAAAAAATCTCCAGGGGACACCCGGGTTTGAACCGGGGACCTCTCGATCTGCAGTCGAATGCTCTACCACTGAGCTATATCCCCATGAAGAACACCGACGACAACATTTTAGTGCTTTATGACAGCATTCTAAGTTTTAGATCTATTTCGGAAAAGCTTAATTTATTACAAAAAATTCTTAAAGCTTTTTATTAGTGATATTGGCGAAGTAAATATGATCTCATCTTAATGTTAAACGAACACCAATTTTATTTACTCTTAATTTGCACGTACAATCTTTATAATAAATATGAATAATTAAACAATTAAACGAAAACACTTGTTTTCATTAAATTTTGTTGATTTATATTATTTTTATTTTTTAAAAAGAAAAATATTTAACACAAAGCTTTAACGATTTTAAAAGCACTAAATCTGAATAGATCAATCGTAATAAAAAAAAGGAAATGATATGGGTTCATAAATAATTCGTATTCTCAATTTACAGTCTCGTATTCTTCTTCAAGTTATAGTTGGTGCAACGGTTCTAGAACCTGGCAGATTGCATGTCAGTGCCCACCAAGCAATATTGCTTTGTAATCTTATAAAGTGCCATTTGTATTTCGCCTGTCAGAACCCGCAGATAGGTCATCACATTTGCAAGATACCTTGGAGATATGAAGGTCAAAATAATAGATTGTATTGTAATGTTACTCCTCCACTTCTTCCACTGCTTTTATTCTAATACTAAATACGCCAAATTTTCTAGACTTACTTATATCGCTGCAGTTCGAAGTCTGTTTAAGTGAAATAAAAGTGCCCCTAGTCGTATCGATTCTGACAATAATAACTTTCTCTGATCCGGTTTTATTTGTTAAAATGCTCCGGTATAAGTTACTGATTGCACACATTGGTCTGATAGTCTAACTCGAATAGTCTAACCAATTTTTTAAATTGTGTTGTTAATAAAATATTACACTTTCGCTAAGCAGATATAACAAGCAAATTGAATTTTTTCCAATATATCTTCCTAAATAAGCAAATAAGCATAATGCTAGACATAGTTATACTACCATATAAACTATGCTCAAATTTAACAAAGGTCTATTTTATCAAAAATATCTTCACACACAGTTAAAAGCAAGGTAGCACACGCACAATTGATGTATTCTTGTGACAACGCATCTTAGCTTATATTAATAAAAATAAAATATACTATATAAAATTCATACATAACTTCAAAAACTGCATTAACATTAAATATATTCCCAAATTTTTCTTAAAATACTTAAACTAAAAATAGAACTGTCCCTAAAATCTACTACCACAAAAATCCAATATTTAATTAAGTATTTCAAAATTTGTGGTTTAATTTGTTTATTTTTTCGATAGGCGAACATTAACTCCACCTTTTGGTACAATAAGAATTGAATAGTTATCGATTTCGATATCTTGTTTTGGCATTATTTCAATATTGAAATTTTGTAAAATCTTTACTACACCCAATTTAGAATTAATTTTACCCATGCGTTGTGCTATACAATGACGTGGACCTTCACCGAAAGGCATATAAGCTTTGGGATTGTAATTACTATTTTCAGGTAGAAAACGTTCTGGAATATAGATTTCTGGATCTGGAAAATGTTCCGGATCACGATGTATACCAAATAGAGATATAAGAACATTTGTTCCCTTCTTGATAATTTTATCACTGCCTGGTATTTGATAGTCTTGTGTGCAAATACGATTCATTAATGGCAAGCTAGGATACTTT